GCCGGGCGCCGCAGGCCCCACCCGTCGGCGCCCAACAGCATTTTCTACCGCATCGCGGCGGCGCCGATTGATTACATCCGCGACAGGTTCAGGTTCGGCAACGCGACGGCCGCGCTCTGAGCATCCAACAGCATCAAAGGTATTGAGCGCACAAGCGCTCGCGCCCGTGCCCGTGGCGTGGCCGGGGCCGCGGCGCACAGGTCGCGGTAGGCAGCGGGCATGCACAGTGCGAGGTAACCGCCCCTCTAGACCCTCCGGATGATCTCGCGTTTAGCTGCAAATCAGGTTTTCCTTCTCTTCTGATTTGGGCGGGCGCGCCAAGTTCATTGCGCGCCGATGCCCGCGTGCATCACCAGCCAGGTCGGCTCGACGCCGCGCCGCCGTCCGCCTGCTCACAGCTCTGCACAAAAAGAGAGCACATGCAGCCTCACTGGACCAAAGAGGTTTTGCTGGTGCGAGGCGGTGTTTGCCGCACGGGCGTGGGCAGGCGCGGGCGAGGGTATGTGTTACAGACGCTGCTCGTGCGCCTAAGCGCGGGGTCCCGCACCCCAGTCGCGCCTGTGGGGCGCCGTGCCATGCACAACTCCCGCATGACGCTGTTATTCCTGCTCCAGCCGCATTGCAATCTGCGACCGCGGGTCCTATTAGTCAAGTCAGCAGCTTCGCCATCCATAACAGCCTCTCAAATCGCAGCAGTACCGTACTGCGAATGCATGCAAGATATGGATTGTAGTCGTGAGTTTGCCCTCACTAAGGTATTTGATAACATGATATCATGCTGGCAACAATTGACTGCTTTGGTGCTGTTTTTGGTCGGCGGGAACAGCTTCTTGCTGAGGAAGGCTTGACGCCGGCCACCAGCTGTGTTGACGGAGCGAGCGGACGCCTTTGGGCGCGTGGCGGCGTGCACGCGTGCACGTGCACGCCATTTTGCAGGGCAGAATGGGCTCTTGTCCGGGACTGGGCCAGCATCCCCACGCCACGTCATCACAAGGCTCAGCAATCCCTTGAACACGCGCATGTGGGCGGATAGGGCCGCATCCGAACTTATACCCTGATTTTTCTATGTACATACGCCAGCGATTGGTGCCTGCCTGGGCATACGCGGCGTGGAGTGCGCCCCAGATCGATGCAGAGACCCCACGGCCAGTCCACCACAAGCAGAAGAGTGGGCCGCGCCCCACTTGGCGAGGTCGGGTCCTACAGGTCAGGCAAGAGGCAATCACTTATGTAACACACAACGCAAGTTGAGTTTTCCAATGCCGTCTTAGCCCGCACAGCACTAAAGGCGCTCGGTGCATGGGTTGACCGGTAGTGCAGCCGGGGATGTGCGTGCTCCGAGAGCGAATGTCCTTGTATTGTGCCCGCAAGTAATTGGATCTTTTCATGCCCTCGTCTCAAACCAGTGTAGCCCACGCATGGAGCTTTTCAGCATGATCACCTGATCGAGTCGGGTGAGTTTGCATCGATTTTGCCGGCAAGCATCGATTTCAATAACCCGCTTGGTCCTTTCATCTTTCTGGTGATTACGGTCAGCATCTAATAGAAGTGGCCGATTGGCGGCCTCGTCGCGAGCACTCGAGGCTCGCCCGTCATGGCAATGACGCTGTTATCACAGATGCAGCTGTTCGGGACGCGGTTTGGCACGCTGAAGCGCATGCAGCGGCCTAGGGCGCTCGCCATTGCGAGGCCCGGCCGTGCATCCCAGTCGGCGATGAGGAGGAAGCCCGTAGCTTGGAGGGCGGCAATGCAGGAAGCCCCGCCCACCGATGTGAGATTTGATTGGTGCAGGCCCAGCATTGCTTCGCGACGACGGCGCTCGCCGCTGACGTCCGCAGCAGCGGCGCCGCCCGCTGCGCCCCAGGCTCGCGCTGACGGCTATCCTTTACATGCAATGCCGACCGCGTTGGCGCCACCAGCGGCGCCTCCCCTGCATGATGCTGCCCCGCGGTGGTCGGCCACTCTCTGGGACGGCTCTCCGCCGGCCGTCCCCCCCCCCCCCTGATGTCAACATCTGCATGCACACGCACGCGCATGTCTTTGCGATGCATGGCGCCAGGAGGGCGACGAGGGCGAGGAGGTCGATTACTACGACGGAGAGTACTACGACGAGGAAGGCGAGGAGGCGCAGGAGATCGACTTCAGCCTGCCCTTCCCCGCAGAGATCCCCATGGAGGGCAACACTAAGCTCCTGTCCAGCATCCCGCTGCCGCTATACTATCCGCTCGTCGCGGGCGCGGCGGCGGCGGCGGCGTTTGTGGGGCTGGCGGCCGGCAAGGGCGCGCCGGGTGAGACAGGGGGCCGGCGGGCGGCGGGCGGCGGCGGTTTGCGGGATGCGGGGGTTGCCCCGATTGGATGGGCCTGTCGTAGGGCTGCGGCGGCGGCAGCGGGGCGGAGCAGTCCTGCGTTATACGTGATATTGTCCCATGCAACGCAGGCCAGGCAGTGGCTTGGCAGCGGGTCAAGGTCGCAAGGCCGCGCGCCGGCGCCCCAGGCCCCAGCTGCCGCCGACGGGCGGTGTCTGTCGGCGCTGCATCAGCATCAGACATCAGCACCTAAACCGGCGCCACCTCAAACTAAATAAAAAAGCCCTGACCCCGACCCCCTGAGGAGCCCTCCCCTCCTCTCCCCTCGCCACCGCCACTTCCTCCGCCCTCAGTTTCCCCCCAGAGCAGGGACGCTGTCGCCTACACCACCGCGGCGGTCTGCGCCGGGGCTGTGCTGTACGGCGGCGCTCAGGTGCGCAGGTGCCGGCTGCCGGCCGATGGAGCGATGAGCGGGAAAAGCAGTCTCTTAGGCCGCCATGGGTTACAGCGGCCGCGAGAGCGGCCGCAGGCGTCGGCGTATAGTGGCGCTAGGCAGCGGCGAGCGGGCAGCGCACAGCAGGGGTTGTTGGGGCAGGGCGCGCGCGGCGGCGGCACCGAGCGGCTGCCCTCGGCGGCGTCGCTGCCCCAGGGGCGTCCCGGCCGCTCAGGGAGCCGCGTCCGGGCCGACCCGCAGCTCGAGTGATTTTTTCCACATCGCATTATTGCGAGCGCCTCTTACGTGGCTGTTTGGATATGTTATGCCGCCGGAAACAGGCCAAGAAGGTGCGCGACAGGGCGGCGGTGGTGGACCTCTTCAACCTCCTGGTGTACATGGACGAGCCCTCGGCGCTGACGCCCGATGATGTCAGCGCAGTGGGCGCGAAGTACGGCGTGAACATGCGGCGCGACCAGCTGGAGGGCCTGGTGCAGATCTTCGGGCAGTACCTGGAGGGAGTGGTGCCAAAGGGCGACGCGCCGCTGCGGTGAGCGCGCGCGGCCGCCGCTTTCGAGACCGTGTGTGTGCGTCGTTCCAGGCGTTTCAGCCGTGTGTGCTGTCGCGCGGAAGGGGGCTGTGCCAAATCGCGCCGCGCCGCTGCTGTCAGCGGGTCATGGCTGAGGATGAATGGAGTTTGTGTGAGTTGCTCTGGTCGGAGCCTGGGGCGCCGCCCAGCCGTGCTGTCAGCTCCGCAAGCGAGCTTGCGCGTGAAGCCTGGTGTGCAGCAGTGGGGCTGCGGGCAGCCTGGCTGTAGCAGTGGGGCTGCGGGCAGCCTGGCTGTGCTGCGTGCGTGGGTGTTCCCTGCACGGCCTGCTGCCGAGCGCCAGGCGGCGGCCAGGCGGCCTGGCAGCGGCGGCCTGGGGCATGGGGCCCCCGGCCTCCAGGGCAGACTCGGCCCCGGGAACATGGCACGCCGCCGCCGCAGCGGGGAGGGCCGGGTAAGCGAAGACGGAGGAGTGGCTGGCGCCTCAAAAGTCATTGGCAGAGGGCGGGTGGGGCGCGCCGCCGACCCGGTTCGGGACCGCGCCCCCCTTTCCACACGGGAGCGCCCCCTCTGGCTCCTTGCCTCATCACATCTCATCTGATCTCTCGCACCCCCTGACCCCTGGTCTTCCGGCAGCGGCGACGAGGCGAGCAAGATCCTGGCCTTTAAGGACGCCCTCAGTCTGACTGATGAGGAGGCAGCGCCGGCCTTCATTGAGGTGGGTGGGGCTGCGGGTCGGTCCGCGTGAGACGGTCCGAGTGACAATGGAAGTCATAGGTCGTCCATGGCAGACGACTGTCCAGGCCGGCGGCGCCCACGGCGCTCGTCTCTTGCCAGCACCGACCCCCGGGGCTCGCCACAACGGACCGCCGGGGCCGGCCCACGGCGCGCACCTGGCCGCGTGCAGCCCCCGCTGGCCCCCCTTCCCTCGACCCCTTCAACCCACGTTTCCGCGCGACTGCTCATCACGACCCCCCCGCCGCTCCCACGGCCGCCCCCCGCCTTCCCGCAGGTTGGCCGCCGCCTCAGCCGCGCCGGCTTCGAGATCCAGGGGCGCCAGGCCCAGTTTGAGCAGCGCAAGGCGTTCCAGCGGCTCATCTACCTTTCATATGCGGCCCTGGGGGACCAAAAGGCGGGGACCCTGCTGCCCTGGGGGGCCGAGTTCGGGCTTAATGATGCCCAGCTGTTTGTGGCGCGGCGGGACAACGCGCGGGCGGTGTTTGGGCAGCACCTGCTGGAGAGCTATGGCGGGGACCTGCCGGCGGACGCGTGAGTGGTTGAGTCGTGGTTGTGTGTGTGTGTGTGTGTGAGAATGTGTGTGTGTGTTCTTTGTATGTGTGCTTGGTTTGATCGTGTGATTTGCGGTGTGTGTTTGCATGTGTATATGGTGGCGCGTGCTTCCGTGTTTGCAAGCGCATGCAAGTTAACTTGTCACCAGAGCCAAGAACGAACTGTTTTTGTCCGAACGCGTCTTGCAGCCGCACATGTGACGCATGCACACGTCACACGCCTGTTGCCACGACCACTTGCCCCCCTCCTGGCACTGACGCACTCGCCATCGCAACCCGACCCCCGCTTCACTGGCTCTAGTGACGCGCTGCGCGCTCTGAGGGAGTTCCAGGGGACCGTGAAGTTGCTGGATGACGTGGCGGAGGACTCGGTGGGCGGGAATTTCGACGATTCGATTGTCAAATTGGGATTCTCCGGACCCGGGCCGGGACGCTTTCAAAGCGCGTGGCGCCGCAAGGCGGCAGGGCCTGTGCGGGGGCTCGCTACCCCTCGCGGCCGAAGCCAGCGGTGGCTGCGACGGAGGGGGCGGCAGGACCGTCGGCCACGCCGCCGCGAGGCGGGCGGGCGGGTCAGCCCGTCGCGACCCCCACGCTCTCGAGCCCCAATTGTCGCGAGACGGTGTATTGATTAGGCTGAGGGGTGTGTCGTCTTGTTGATGGGAGGGGCCGCACATGTATGTATGTGGATCACATGTTTATGCCATGGGGGACGAAGATTGCCCAAGGACCTCGTGCGATCCGCCGCTTTGACCGCCGTGCGCGCCCTCCTTTGACCGCCGCGCCAGGTGCGCGCCGCCGCGCGGTCGCATGTGGAGCGCCAGCTGGCGGCGGCGCTGGAGCAGCTGCGGGCGCCCATCAGCACGCGCGACGTCGGGCGCGTGGTGGAGGTGCGCGCGCGCGCGCACACACACGCACAAACTCACACGCGCGCGCACGCGCACACGCGCGCGCGCCTCGCGCCGCCGCCCGGCGCCGCCGGTCCCTACTCGCCCCCCCTGGGTTGCCGCGCGCGCACCCGCACCCACCACCCCGCGCCACGTCCGGGCGCCGCCGGCCCGACCACAACCGCCCATAAACAGCCCCAAAACCCGCCCAAAAACAACCCACAGGAGGTGCATGCTATTCTTGACTACAGCCGGCGGCTGCAGGCGCTGGCTGGGGAGGAGGGCCTGGTGCCTGGCGTGGGCGCACCGTCGCTGGCGGGCGGCGCGTGGGTGGAGGGGCTGCGGCGGCGGGACGTGAAGGATCTGTACCGGGCGTACTGCGAGGAGCGCACTGGCAAGGAGGTGGGGGGGAGGGCGGGTTGATGGATGCGCCTGGTTCGGCTGTGTTTTCTGGAGAAGGGCGTCGCTTGTTTTAGCGGCGCTCTGGCCGGGGTTGAGGGGCAGGCGCGGCTGCAGTTGAAGCGTGCAGGGGGAGTGTCGCGGCGCGCGGCCGCGGCCCCAGTATCATGGCCCCCCCATCCATGTTTGCCAGTGCAGACAGTGGTGCAGCCCCACACCCCCATGGCACAGCGCCCCCCCCCCTCCTTCCCGGGGGGGGCGACCCCCCCCATCACATCCACAGAAATGGAGCACGTGCTTCTGCATCATGAACCATCACAACACGCGACAACACATCATCAGAGCACCCCCCCCACCCCCTGGCCCCGCAAACTCCAGGGCGCCTTCACCCCCGAGATCGAGGCCGACCTCAAGGATCTCTCGCAGATCTTCACCCTGGCCCCCAAGGAGGCCGCAGATCTGAGGGCCGAGGTGGCGGCGGGGCTGTACCGGCGACTGCTCAAGGACGAGGTCACGTCGAAGCGCATAGACGCGGCCGCGTCGCCGGCGCAGGTGATTGCGTGCGGATTTTTGTGCCAAGTCGGATGGGAAGTTGTGTGTATGATTGTGGGTGGTCATGTGTGTGGTTGTGTGTACGGGTTTGTGTGAAAGGGGGGGTGGAAGGGGGAGGGCCAGGGGGGGGGGGGCTGTGCTCGGGTTGCATCATCACGCCCGGGG